GTGCCGTATGTTCTCTGGGTAAGAAAGGACGGAAAATAAAAGCCCGGTGTGCACGTGCTTCTTGTTGGGAAGGAAGGAGGCACAAAGCAGAGACGGGAGCTCAGCAGGGCTGGATGGGGGGCAGGGAATGGAAACGAACGTTGTTTGGCCGTGACTTCTGAATTAGGTGAAGGACTTCCTATCCACAGAAATGAAATAAAACAACGGAGACAAGCCTTCCGCCGAGTACAGGCAGAAACAAATGAGCCTAACGTGTATCAACTCCATAAGTCACCTTATGAGAAAACAAAGGGTGCAAGTAACTTGGAATCCGTCCTCCGTGCCACCCGGAGGCCTCCCTGGAGGCAGAGCCACCAGACCTCCGGGACCTCACTTAGTGGCTTGTTACTGGCAGGGGCATCAGTGTAAAAACCATGACACTGTTGTGTGTGTCTTGTGGAAGAAACGTGTCAACACGTGGCAATTGTGGGGATCCGAAGGGTCAGAGAACAGGAAATACAAGACGCCAGTTCGGGTGAGCCCTGCGGGGCGGGGTTTAATGGGAGGCACTGGTGACCTCGCGGGCATCTCTACACAGAACGTCCTCGCCGTGCTGGCTGAAGGGGCCCCGAAGCACGACGCCGAGTGGCAGTGAACACAGCCAGTTCCGAATCTTGATAAATAAATGCGAGTCCCCACAAAAAGAGGCCTGGATTTTCTCCGGGAAATGACAGATTCCAAGTCTGTCAAAGGTCACCTGGGATCACCTGTGCCCAATAAGTAGGAGGCACCTGGAGACCCCCGGGGACGCATCACAGGGACCCTGGAACCGTCCCCTTCCAGTGAGCAGGCCTTGAACAACTGTGGTTACAACCCACCGAACCAAGCAAAGAACAGCAAAAAGAGAATCCATACGTTTATGGAATTTAAAAATCACCACTGTGAACGCCCAGCATCATTACAGATTCAGGCAAAAAACCATCGATCGATGACCCAAAGTCATGGGGGTGCAATCGAACTTCCACGGCCGAGGGCGGCCGAGCCCGCGGTGCGAGCCCCTCACGTGCTGCCACGCTGGGCCTAGTTGTGCCAAACACGTACGCCCACGTCTGGGCAGGAGGAACAGAAGCCCGCAGACGGGGCTCCACCGAGGAGGCACCTGCCCAGGCTCTCGAAAATAATCCAATGGAAAATAGACAGAAAGCAGAAGGTGGGAAGACTGTTCTAGACGAAGACATTAAAAGACATAACTGAATGCGGTGCGTGAACTTCGATTGGACCCTGGAGTATTTTTTTTAAACAGCCACGAAAGGCATGTGGGGGCAATTAGAGAAATTCGAAACCAGGCTGTACCTCAGGTAAATGTCTGCTCTCAGAAGTGTGCTAACGCACCACGCGCGCAGAACGTGGACATCTCCGTGGGTGCCCAAGTGTTCAGCGGAGAGCGTCACCATCTGCCCTCCGACCCCACGGCTCGGCAAACCACGTGCCGACTAGGGCGCGGGAGAGCGAATGCACCTGTCCGCTGACCCCGTCTTCCCGCTTCTCTGTAAATTTGAGAATTTTTTAACAGACCCTTGGGAACACTAATGGCTCCGATGCTTCAGGACACGGCCTAGAGGGGGGATCTTGGGCCTCTGCCAGCAAGGAGTCACGAACGCCGCTTCACAGCAGGTGGGGAGTGAACCACGTTGGTGGCGCGTCCATGGAGCCCAGGCGCAGAGAGGCGTCCAGGACTCGGCAAGGACAGCAGCTAGCGACCGTGCTGCCGGCTGGAGAGGGGCCCGTTTTACAGGGCGAGGGAGGTGACAAGCCCATTGAGGGGGACATCCCCTGACTCCCAGGCCCACGCCAGCCCGGGGTCACAGCCCCGGGTTATGCGCACGGAGCGCAGAGGCGCGATGGACGCAGGGAAGGAGGCCATGACAGAGGCCGGAGGAGCCAGCCGGGAAGACGGGGGGCCTGGAGGTGTGGGAGAGGCCGCGGGCATCAGACAGAGGGGTCCACATTGCCTCCATGCTGTGCCAGCACGGCGTCCAGGGAGGGAGGACCCTGGCCAGCCCAGATGCACCCAGGTGCCGTTGGGCATCATCCCTCCGCTGCCGCCAGCCCATCACCCGCCCTACTATTCGGGGCCCCTCCCAGCCCTTTGTCCCACCGGGCGGGTCGTCTCCCTCCCACAGAGGCCGCCCGGATACCCCAATATCCGGGCAATCTTGGCTCCCTCCATCCTCCGTGTGTTCCCTTGCTTGATGCTTCCTAGGGAAGAGGCACGCCCATGCGTTTTTTAAACAAGTTTATTTATTTATGTATTTAGTGGGAAGGAGACAGAGAGGGTGAGCAGGGGAGGGGCAGAGAGAGGGGGGGACAGAGAATCCCAAGCACAGTGCAGAACCTGACAGGGGGCTCGAACTCGGAACTGTGAAATCGCGACCTGAGCGAAAACCAAGGTTGGACGCTTCACCACGGAGCCCCCCAGCCCCCTCCCCAGGCACCTTGAATGTGCTCTTGCAAAGGACAGTGAAGGCTGTTTGGTGTCAAGCCAGGGCGAAGAACCAGGAGATAAGAGATCAAAGGCGCTGGAGGCGCGAGAGAGGAGATGGATAATCCCCCCGACAACCAGGCCGAGAGAGGAGGCTAAGGGCTGAGAGAAGGGAGGCAGAGGGCTCATCAGGCAGCAGCAATTTGCCAGAATGAGCGTCGGCCACCGCCCGTCCAAGACCCAGTCCGGAGCTGCGTCTGCTGGGCCCACCCACAACGGGCCAACTCAAACAGCATTGTTAATTTTTTAACGTTTTATTTATTTTTGAGAGAAAGAGAGAGACAGTGTGCAGGGGAGGGTCACAGAGAGAGGGAGTCACAGACTCTGAAACAGGCTCCAGGCTCCGAGCTGGCAGTCAGCACAGAGCCCGACGCGGGGCCCGAACCCACGAACCGCGAGATCACGACCTGAGCTGAAGTCAGACGCTTAACCGACTGAGCCCCCCAGGCGCCCCTCAACCAGCATTTTTAGCTGGCCACCCAGTCGCCTGGAGTCTGACAGACCCAGGATGACAGCAAATGGTGTCCCCCGCATGCCTCCTCTGGTTACAGAGTCCTGAGCACTGTGGCCGGGGACGCGGAGAACTTCTCATCCTCTGGCCCATTTGCGAAACGCATTGGCTTTGACAAACTGTCCCCGAACACCTGGCCTGTACGTGCTCTGCTAACCAGCACACGCTGTATCAGATTCAGAAAGTGCTTATAAGCTCTCACTTGCCTTGAGAAATAACCCATCAGCTGTCAAGAAGGCTAAAGCCCGTGTTGGCGCTGGTGAAACGTTCACATCGGAGAAACGCAAGCCAGTTTGGTCAGACCTAATAAGTTTTAACAAAAGCCAGGTGAAGGATTCTATCTGGAAAAGCGAGAGAATCTTATAAGCACGCTGAGAAATAGTTCTCTCCGGGGAGGGAAGCAAAAAAAAAAAAAAAAAAGTGAAGCCACTTGTATGGCGGTGGAAAGGCAGCCTGAAATTGGATTTCACAGATGGAACTTTTCCGTAACCCTGGGCTAAATCGGTGGTTTCCTGATCTCTTCAGACGGTGCCACCTTCCGGCATTTTCTGCCCAAGCCTTGGACCCGTCAGGCTCCGTCTGAGAGGGAATCAGGCTTAAAATCCATGAAGGCATAAGAGCCCTCTCAAAGACCACAGACGAGATCATCACAGAACCTACTAGAAGGCATCTACTCTGTATCGTTCTGAATGGGAGACACGAAGTCCACCGTTCCTCCAGCTGAAGAGAAATCGCTCCTTATTCTGGCAGAATCGGCTCTGTTTTACGAGCAAAGGTGCACGGCCACGCTTGCAATTCCGGAGAGTTCCATTTAACACGTGCAAACGCTCAGGCACATATAGAAATGCTTTTTATATGTGTTTCCAGATCGGCTTTAGGTTTGAAACCCTGAGCTGTGGTATGAAGAAAAAATAAAAATAAAAACAGGCACCGGGTCTTTGCTAATAAGAGGGCTCGCCGCCCCCTCCTCAGTTCTGCTGCAGGGAAATCCAAAAGACGGGACAAAACAAGACACAAATCTGCCGCACGGACGCCTCACGCACCCGGAAAACCCCGGCAGACTCCTCGCCGCAGGCAGCTCTGCCCTCGCCCTCCCCGCACACAGGGAGCGCGTGAGTCCAGGAAGGCCCAGGCCCAACGGCAAACCGCATGAGCCGAAGAACCCATTAGCTCCTCGAAGGGAAATTCTAGAAGCACGTGTCTGAAGTCCAACCCGATTAGAAAATGGTTCTTGGGACGCCTGGGGGGCTCAGTCGGTTGAGCGTCCAACTTCGGCCCAGGTAATGGTCTGCGGTTCATCAGGCTCTGGGCTGACAGCTTGGAGCCTGGAGCCTGCTTCGGATTCTGTCTCTTCCCTCTGCCGCTCATGCTTTCTCTGTCTCTCTTTCTCTGAAAAATAAACATTAAAAAAAAAAAGAAAGAAAAAAGAGGAGGGAGGCGCCTGGGTGGCTCATTTGGTTTAGTGTCCAACTCTTGATTTCAGCTCAGGTCATGATCTCGAAGTTTGTGAGTTCGAGCCCCGCGTGGGCTCCATGCTGACAGTGCGACGTCTACTCGGGGTTCTCTCTCTCTCTCAGAGATAAACATCAAAAAATGTTAAGAAAATGGTTCTTTAAGAAGCTAATGAGTGCAGTGTGTAGGACCTAAGATGTTACAAGTCTAGCACAGACCGTGCGTCTACACGGCAGCGGCTGAGGCGGCCTCCTCCACGCGCGGCCCCCAATATCACAGGCCCCCCGGGCGCCGCCCGGAGTCCCCTGGAAACCCGAGGGGACTCCCAGTTCACGTCCCCGACAGCAGGGACCGGGGAGCCTGACCGACAGGCGCGCGAATGTGGCTGCCGACTTCCTGGACGGTGATCTGGGTGCGGAAGCAGGGAAGGGGGATCCGAGATGTTCGCTCCGAGCGCATGCAAAGCCCCTTGTGCACGGCCCCGCGTCTCCCCAACAGAGACAACCAATCCAAAGCGAAGTTTGACACATCTTTTTATGTACAAATGGGCAATGGTACAGACGCAGTTACTTTTCATAAATATCTCCAGCAAATCCCCTAAAAAAGATGTGAATAAAAACTACCTCTATGCACAAAGGGCCTCGCCCTTCCCCAAGTGTTCACTTCCCCTAGAGCCTATCAGCCAACCACTCGTGCCCCCCCTCCCCCCAAGGACAGGGCGCTTTGGGACCAGGCGACAGCCTTCCCACCGCCCAGTCAAGGTGACTTGAAGGTCGTCTGCTGCCCAGGACCCGGGGAGACTGTCAGGCAGGGCTGGGGCGCCCTCCCTGCTCCCCGGCAGAGGCCCAGGGACGGTGGAAAGGAAGCCAAGATAAGGGGGGGAAGTAAAAAAAAACAAAAAACAAAAAACAACCAACAACTCTGGGTATTTTGAGAACACACTCGGTAACCAGTGTAACCCGTGAAGCCAATGTATCAAATTCGCCCGCGGGAAAAGGGATCTCAGATTCCAGAATCCACAGACAAGACTTTTATTTGAAGGGAGATAACGACGTAGCACCGAGCGCGCTCCCTCGGCCCCGGAGACCCTGCGCGCGGGGGGCGCATCGGCAACACGGCGGCGGGGGCGCCCTCCACTCCGGTGGGGTCGCCCCGACTCCGGGGCACCGGCGCCCCACAACGGCCCTCTGGGCTGGTGCCCCGGCCTCCAGCCCCCACGGGCTTCATTCAAAGCGGCGCAGGTGGTTGTACAGCGACTGGACGTAGGTGAAGACGCACATGGGGTCCGGCTTGTGGCCCATGACCATCATGTCCTCCACCTCGATGAGGCGCTCGCAGTTGGCCAGGTTCCTGAAACACAGAAGCCGGGTCAGCACCCGGGGCCGCCATCCGCCAGCACCGCCACCCTGGGGAGAGAAGAGCAGCTTCCCATGACCTCGGGAGACCCCGGGAGACCCCAACCCGGAGGCAGTGCTGCCCAGGTCCCCGCATGGAGGACCGGACACTCTTCGCGTTTTGACTCACACACACTGACTTTACTGCGAACTTCGGTGAAATTAAATTCCGCTTTGAAGTTTCACTAAATCCACTTATCAAGTACATCCACCCCACGCCCACCCCGCACTTGTTCCCGAACGCGGTCGTGAAACACTCACCTGATCTCCCTCCCCACTGACGGGTCACAAGCTTAAGCCTGCCGACCTCCACCTCAGTACCCCAGGGCCCTGTGCCTTGCGCTCTGGGAAACACGGGTGTAGACGCTGCGCTGGGAAGAAATCGGCGCCCCTGCCGTACCCAGGTCCCACGGCCCCCAAGGCGGCGCCCACAGCGACAAGGCAGCGCGGTGCCCTGAAGTAACAGCGGGTGCCCTTCGGGACGCTGACCCGGGCGCAGACCTGGCGGCGGAACCAGCCGGGCGCACACCTGCGCCCGCTCCAGCCGTGTCCTCCTGTCCACCCGTCCGCAGTGGCCAGCGGGGCGCGCTTCTGTGCCCCCAGGGTGCCCTGCCCCCCCCCCATCCGCGGCCCAGCCGCACCCTCCCTGACTCTGGGCACGGAGGTCCCTCCACTCCCGTAGGGCTCCGAGTCCCCCACGGAACATCGCCCCTGCGCCGGGCGGCGGGGGGCTGACCGGGCACCGCACACTTCCTGTGCCCGGAAAGAGCTCAGGACGTGTCCCCGGGGGTTGTCATTTTCACCAGAATTTGGGACCTAAACAGCAGGATTCAGATCCTGGCTCTGCGACTTCTGACCCCCTTCTGTGCCAGCTCCTCAGCGGAGACCCAGACCCCCGCCCCGAGGTTGTGTCCTGTACGCAGGGCCAGCCGTGCGCCCGGTGGGGTCAGCCACACCTTCCCCGCCCGGCCCCGCGCGCGGGCCACCTGCCGGGGCCCCTGCTGCCCCCGCCCCTTGGGTTGGCGTCGGTGGCCAATGGGGGCATCAGGTAGCTTTGTGAGGTGGCAGGTCCTGACCCAACACACGGGCACCCGGGCATCCCAGGCGGGTGGGGCCGGGCTCGGGGTCAGGGGCGTGCGAGCTCGGGCAGCGGCAGGCCGTGAAGGTGCTTCGTTGACGGTGAAGAGTTGCAGATCCAAGTTCTCCGACCGGAGTTCACCTTCCTGAGCGATCGGCATCTGGTGCGCTCACACCCGCCCGCCCACCCTGCCTTCCTCCCAGGGCTGCCTGCACGCCCACCGGGTGCACGTGAGTGTGCCCCAGCCCTCCTCGCGCGCCAGACCATCACTACCGCCACTGGCCACAGTGGTCCCCAAGTTAAATGAGGGCCGTATTGAAACCCTGACCCTCGGCCTCAGGAGAGAACCGTGCGCCCTCCAAACACGGGGAAGTGCAGCCCGGGCTTGCTCTCCTCCAGGCTCAGGCCATGGGCCCAGGCCCTGGTCCCCCGCGGTCAGATCCCCCCACAGATGGCTCTGGTTCTAGTCCCCACCATCAGATCCCCCCGCGGTCAGATCCCTGGTGGTCAGATCCCCAGCGGTCAGATCCCCCGGAGGTCAGATTCCCCCCCGGCGGTCAGATCCCTGGCGGTCAGATCCCCCCGTGGTCAGATCCCCAGCGGTCAGATCCCCCCGCAGTCAGATCCCCGGCAGTCAGATCCCCCGGAGGTCAGATTCCCCCCCGGCGGTCAGATCCCTGGCGGTCAGATCCCCCCGCGGTCAGATCCCCAGCGGTCAGATCCCCGGCGGTCAGATCCCCCCGCGGTCAGATCCCCAGCGGTCAGATCCCCGGCGGTCAGATCCCCCGGCGGTCAGATCCCTGGCGGTCAGATCCCCCCGCGGTCAGATCCCTGGTGGTCAGATCCCTGGCGGTCAGATCCCTCCGCAGGCTCTGGCCTAGAGAAAGTTTCCCTCACGTTTCCTATGCTAACTTGCCGCTGGGTACTTTCCACTTACTGGCCCCACAAGTCTGTTCTCTGCCTAATCTCTTCCCCACAAGAGCCTTTCGCCTGTTGGAAGAGAATCTTCGTATCATGTCTTTCCCCGAAACCACATCTCTCTGGTTCCTTCCCTGTGGCTCCCAAGGGCACCTGGGACCCTCTCTGCGCTGGCTCTGGTTTCTTTCCCGTCTTCCCGCCCAGAATGGCTAGTATGTTCCAACCCGCACAGAGAGAGTCTGCCGACCCCTTCTGCTCCGGCATCCCTGCCCGGGCAACGAGGCATCACTGTCAGGGTCGCGGTCGGGGTGGGCACTAAGGCCTTGCACCCCGGGCGGGAAGCCCCCGGCAAGGTTCTGGCTTCCCGCCCCCCACCCCCCACCCCGGGCAGCTAGAGCGGTAACCCCACGAAACCTGAAAGCTGCAGACACGGGCTGAATGAAACTTGAGAATCAGGATACGAGAAAAGGAAGACGGTCAGTACTGACTTCTATAAAAAGACTTAAGTCTCAAAATATTAGAGGCCCCAACCGCCCTTTCACACAGGTTGAGGTATGGTGACCTAGAACCGAATTAAGTGTGCACCGTATTGCCTTTTAAATTTAAAAAAAAAAAAAAAAGTGCTCTTGTAAAAGCGATGCAAGCTGGTTTCACTCCCGGGCCGCGCAACAGCCCGAAGGAAAAGCACTCAGCACTCAGCCTGTGCGCCAAGACCCGGGTGACGTGGGCGAGCCGTCGTTAGTGAGGGGGCGCGCTTCGCCCCGCGCTGCCTGGGGCTTAAAAGAAAGGCTCAGAGGCTTCTCCCGCCCAGGCTCTATTACGATCTGCAGGCAGCGCGGGGCTGGCCTGCGAGGGAGGGCGGTGGAGGAGGGGCTCGAGGGACTATTTTTACTTCTCTGAAGGCAGGTGCCAGGCTCGGACGACAGCCTCCTGTCTGGTTTTAGCCAGAGACACATGGACACTGCAAATAGCCCGAAGCCCCTTCTGCCTGAGAGTAACCCGAGAGCAGGGCACATTCCCCGCAGGGCAGGCGGGGGCCTTGGGCCACACGTCCGGCCCTGGGCAGGCGCTCCGCCTGGAGAAGTGGGGTGCAGAGCGCAGGGCCCCCGCGCCCCGCCGCACCCCTTCCATAAACGGACCGACCCTCCCGCTCTCCAGGCTGGGGACACCTGTCCAACAAGGGAGCTCACTTTGCTGTCAACACCGCATTGCTCACACAGATTAGGCCGCGGGGAATCTTCGGGCCCGGGAGTCCCTGGAAGGGGGTGGGGGGAGGGCTGTCCCACGGCTTCCACCACGCAGCTCCTGGTGCATCCCCGTGAGCTTAAGGCCCTTGCTCACGGAGGGGTCGCAAACGTTTCCTTCCCGATGTGATGTGAACCCCCTGTTGGAGGGGCCTGTCTGCCCTCCATTCCCGCCCAAAGGCTGTGACCCCATCGGAGCCCAGGCCCCTGTCACCCCGCACAGCCCCCACGTGCGTGCCGGACCTTCGCTCGCCAACCTCACAGGGTCTGCTAAGAACCGGGAGCCGGCACCGCCCAGCCAGGTCATCCTGGCCGTCCTCTCCGGAGGCCGCCTTCCTGCCCCCTCAATACCTGTGAGGTCACCGCCTCAGCGACTCCCCGGGGAGGTCCCTACCCAGGCCCCAATCAAGCTGCCCACACAGGCCTGCCCTGGGCCCCTAGCCCGCAGATCCCCTCCCCTCCCCAGCCACCAGCAGGTCGCAGGGAGGCGGGGCCAGGCTTCTGCCCCGCTGTTTGCTCTGAGGAGGAGGGAGGCGACACGGGGAGCGGCCTCCAGGCTGGGACGCGCTCTGTGTTCCCCAGTCAGGAGGCTCCAGGAGCTCAGCCCTGGTGCTGAGAAAGCACAGCCACAAATTGCTCTGGCTCTGGCTGGAGGCAGGGGCGGGGAGCGGGGCTGTGCCCCCCCACCATCGGGGGGGCGGGGCTGCCACCCTGCGGCCCGGGGCCCCCTTCCCCTGCCCAGCCCAGCCTGGTCTGTGGAGAACACCAGGGGCCCAGTTTCTGGGGTGGGGCTTGGGGTGCGAGCCCCCGCCCTGCACACTCAGTCTGTTTGACAGCCACCATCTCTGGGCTTGAGCCGCAGGGCCTCCCCCTGCGAGGCGCCCCTCCCCAGCCCCGCGCCGTCCCCCTTGGCTCTGCTTCAGCGCCGTCTGGGTCCAGTTGCATAACACACCCCATCAGAGCTGTTTCTGCGATCAGGATGACAGCTGACCCGAGCAGCCAAGAAAGAGAAGGCGTTCCTGTGACCCCGAGGGGGTGAGGGTCCGGGCGTGTCCCCCGGGACCTCGGCACAGGGCAGCAGCAACGGTCCTACAACTCAGGCAGCCTCCGCTCTGCTCCCAGGCCTCCCCCGTGGGCTCCGACTCCTTCCCGGGCCGGGCTGGGCTCCAGGAATGGAGTGAGGAGGGCACTCGGGCCTGGAGCCAGGCCCCCCACCCTGCTCAGGGCACCCGGACACAGACCAGAACACGGTGGGCTGCGCGGCTCTCGGGTCTTAGGCCCCCAGCCACTGAGGCTGCTCCAGGAGAGACAAACATCCCCTCCAGGGAACCCCGCCTTCCCCCTGACCTCTAACCCTCTCTCCTGGGCACCCTCTGAGCCCCGTCCCCAGGCTCCCCTGCCCTCTGCCGGCTGCGGGTCCAGCCGCTGCCCACACACACGGCCCCCGTGAGCCAGGCCTCCCCGGGCCCTGGACGGCCAGCAGACCCGCCCCAGGGGACAGCCTGCACCCCTGCCTCCAGCCAGACCCCGATGCACCAGGGGCTGCCCTGAGCCAACCGCCAAATCCCAGACTGGCTTCCCAAGTGCCGACTGATCCCAGAACCTCCCGCCACCCGACCCCTCCCGGAGCCGGTCTTAGCAACCTCGACAACTTCATATCAAACACTACAACGACATTTAGGGAACCAAGATCTACTTATTGAAGAATTTTTAAAAGTCTCCGAGGAAGATGTCATTCGATGTCCTGCTCCCCAAGAGACGGTGTCTCCGCACCGGCCCTGAGGGGACAGACTGGGTGCCCTGGGAGACCCCGCCCCGCCGGCCCTGGGGCCCTGCTGGCGGCTAGTCTCTCAGACCACACGGGAGAGGCCAGGCGCCCAGCGAGAAGGGCAGGTGCGCCGAGTCTGGGTGACCCCTCCAGGCCTGTCTCCCCACATGTACAGGAGGCCGCCGGGATGTCCTCAGGACCCTGTGGATGACCCCCCCCCCCGCCCCGTCCCCATGCAGGAGCCGGGCTCAGCACCTGCCACACTCACTCGGCCATGCTGAAGGCCAGCTCGAAGTTCTTCTGCCGCTGCGCGGGGCTCAGGGCGCTGTAGTCGAAGGCGTCGGGGAAGAAGGAGTGCACCAGGGCGCAGAAGGCCATGCCGTCGCTCCAGCTGGACGAGAAGTTCTGCAGGTCCACGTGCTTCCAGTGGGGGGGAGGGGGCAACGTAGGGGGTGAGCGGGGTTCAGTCCCGCCTCCGCGCCCCCCACCCAATGCAGCCCCGCAGGCTGACGCTCCCAGCCCCTCCCAGCGCAGACCAGGGGCCCTGGGCTGAGGCAAAGTCTGGGCTCACCTGGTAGCCGGGGTCCCCCGGGGCAGGGGCCCCGCTCACCTGGTAGCCGGGGTCCCCCGGGGCAGGGGCGTCCCCCGGGGCCGGGGCCCCGCTCACCTGGTAGCCAAGGGTCTTCTGCCGGCACCACTCCAGCAGAAGCTGCTTGATGCTGCTGGCGCTCGCCACGCCGAAGCTCTGTGACCGCTTCAGCTTGGCCCGCACCTCGCCCTTCCCGCTGCTGGAAGAGCACCAGCCTGCTGTGGGGCCAGGTCCCCCCCCCGCTCCCCCCCTGTCCTGCTCCCCCAGGGGAGATGCCCCGCCACACACAGCCCCCCCTCCCCGCCCGGCATCTGGCAGGACCGCGTTCCCTCCAGCAGCGTCCGGTCCCCACACTGGGAATCAGGGGTCCCCGGCCCACATGGCCTCAGGCCCCGGCCCTCCGCTGCCTCCCCTCCACCCCAGCCCCCTGCCCAGAGACCCCCACTGACAGCTGCCTCCCTAGCCTCTCAGGGGAAGGGTGGTCCCTGGGGTGGGGGTGGGGGCGCAAGGACACAGCCCAGATCTGGCTCAGCGGGGACACTGCCCGGGTCGGTCTCCCTCACTGGTCACAGGAAGCTAGGGCTGGGGTGTCCTCGCCACGCAGGTGGGGCCCCGCCCTGCACCCAGCAGATGTCATGCTGTCCACGGGACCCCGTGCGAAGACCAGGCTGTCTCCAAGGGGGACGCGGCGTCACCCCACAGCCCCCCAGGAATCCCAACCCACGACCCACGACCCCGTGTCCTGCCCAGAAACCGAGGGACACGGGGGAGGCGGGCGAGGGCAGCTGGGCACCTCTGGAAGGGGGCGCCCGAGGGGCTCTGGTCATGGGCCCGCCCTAGCGTCCCGCCCCCGTGCTGCGCCCCCCTGGCCCCCACGTGGCTCTGGGCGTGGCCGTCCGTACCTGCCCCCCGTGTCCCGCTCCCACTTCTCAAACAAGGCCTTCCGGGCCTGCGCCCCCGACGTGCGAGGCAGCGTCTGCGACCTGACCAGCTCCCGGCGCCGGGCCTGGGCGCTGGCTGGCGGGGACCGGGGCGTCGCCGGGGGTGGGCTGAGGAGAGAACCGCCAGGTCAGGAACGTCCCGGCCCACACAGGCCCCGGGCCCCCTGCCAGTGACGGAGGGGAGGCGAGCAGAGGGGACCCAGCCCGCTGGGCAGGTTTTCTGACCCAGCGAGCGGAGCCCCCCCCCCAGCAAGGGGGTACCCACCTGTCGCTCCTGACGGCCGACGCCGCCCCATAGCTGGAGCTCGACCGCGGGGCGGAAAGGCTCCTCTCTGCGGACAGGAGGGAACGGAAGTAGCCGTGGCCTCAGGGAGGGCCAGCTGCCGGAGCCCTTCCCTGCCCCAGCACCGCTCCCCGACGGCTCCCCTCCCCGACCCGGCCCTGCTCCCCGGATGGGCAGCCCCCCACTAAGCGGGCCCCACCACGGCCAGCGGTTGGGGGAGGGGAGCTGGGAGCCCAGAGCTCAGACGTAACAGCCTGTAAGCGTCCCAGCTGCTCTGGGCAGCACGGGGCCCAGGGCCCCCTGTGCTGTGCGTCCAGCACACGCCTTGTCCCCAGACCCTCATTTTGGAAGCCCCACCCCAGGACACACCGCTGGAGGCCTGGCCACAGGCCCACGCAGGCTGGCGGAGCCCTGCCACGTGCGCAGGGTGACAGCCACGGCCTAGCCACGGCTCGACCGGGAACGAAAGCCAGTCCCCCCCCAGGGAAGCAGCCGGCTCAGGGCATCTCTGCAACGACTCGTAGGGGCAGGTGCAGGTGGGCAGCCCCCGGGCCCTGCCTGCCCCCACGGCCCGGGGGGTCTGCAGCCTGCTCCCCCGCTCCTACCGCTGGGGCCTGGAGTCCAGGGTGTGGTGGCCTCGCTGGGGCTCGGGCTGGGCCCCCCCAGGATGGTGGCAGACGTGGGCGAGAGAGCCGCGGCTGAGGTGGTCTCCCCCGAAAACCTCTCTGAGACCCGAGTGACGGCCGTGACCGGCTGGTGAGGCAGCTGCAAGGAGAGGCTCCTGGGGCGAGGCCTGGGGGGCTCCGGTGCCGGGGCGGTTCGGGCTGCCTCAAGGGGTCCGTCACCGAGACCTGGAACGCGAGGCCAGGGGGAAGGGGAGGTCAGCCAAGGCAGCTACAGGGGCCTCAGACCGCCCCCCAGGACTCCAGCCTCCGTGAACCCTCCTCCCACCTCCTCCAGGAAGGCCTCCCTGACCTCCCTTTTCTGGGGACGCCTCACAGCTCCAACCAGAGTTTATGTCTGTTCCAAACTGCCCTCACAATCAGCTCCATAAACACTAGCTAGCCTGTCGGCCACGCTGTGGCACCCACTCGCTGTGTGGACAACCCTTTGGGGCCCACTTGTTTCCTCCAGAAACCGGGAGGCTCATCCCCTTTTGGGACCTCCCGTCTCCCTCTGTGTTTACAAAGTGCTACTTGGTGCTGAGTGGACCTGGGCTCCAGGGCACGTACCCTCCCGGCCGAGAGGCCCCTGTGCCGTTGCCCTACCTGCCCCGGGCTGGTGCCCGTTCTCCACGATGCACGAGTCTGAGGCCTTTCTCGTGTCCACCTCGCTGGCTTCGTCCTGGCGGTCCACACTCTAGGGAGACACGCGCGCCAAGGAGGCCCCGTCAGGCAGGCCCGGCTGCCCACCCCAGACTGCGGTCCAAGCCCCCCCCGCCCCCAGGTTCTCTGGGCCAACGGGGGGCGCTGGGCCTTCATGCTGAGGACTTCTCATTGGATGCAGAGATTTGCCTGGATGCCCGGAATGGGGGGGGAGGGGGCGCCCAGCCCCCTTCACCGCAGTGAAGCCACTGGGGGCACCTGGGGTCCGGGCTGAGCCACCACCGAGGTGCTCGGGTCAAGTCGTACCCCTGCTGGGTCGCAGGTCGCCCGTCAGAGAAGGAGCAGATGCTCTGTGGGGCGTCAGGCCCTGTTCTGCCCAGGCCGCTTACACCAACTTGCTTCTAGCTTCTCGGGTGGGTGCTAACACCCCCGCGGCAGACAGGGCCCCGGGGCCCCGCGAAGAGGCGTGCCGTCCGCGGTGGCACGTGAGAAACCCCTGTGATCTGCGGCCAGGAGGGACGTCCTCCCCACCGAGGTCCCGCGCCCCTCGCAGTGAGGGAGGCGTGGAGGGCTGGCGGGGTCTGCCTGGCGGGAAGGGGATCGGGCAGACCCGCTGGCACTAAGGGCCACTCGGAGGCTGGCCAGACCTCTCCCCGGACACCTCCGGGTGGCTCTTGTCTGCAAGGTTCCCAGATGGCTCAGCGGGGCCCCGGCCGGCCAGCGGTGGCCCTGCGCGTGGGGGAATCGGCCTGGGGGAGGGGGGGGGGCGCCAGGACCTCGAGCAGACGCCGCCAAACCCGGGTCAGGGAGGGCTCCCCAGAGGCAGCGGTGCCCAGCTGGGCTGACAAGCAGGGAGGCCACTAGGGTCTGCACGGACAGGCTTCGAGCCACGACGCGCTGTGACCGGTTGCTGCGGACGAACCGTGCCGCCCCAGGTGCCGCCCCAGGTGCCGCCCCAGGTGCCGCCGAGAGGGGAGGGGGCGCGGGCGGCGGATGCGGGCGGATGTGGAGGGAGGAGCCACCCGAGGAGGAAGGCAGGGCGTCGGTGGGAAAACAGGGGTTTCAGTGCGGGACACGTCGGGGGGGGCCCTGGCACACCTGGGGGGCGCGGTCAGGAGGCAGCCAGCTGCGTGTCTGTCTGAAGTTTAAGAGGCAGGACAGAAGGACGGACGGAGGATCGAGGGAGAAACAGCCTTGCTTCCCCCGCACACGACCACACGACGAGGAAGAGGGGGCCTGGGGCGGGGGGGGGGTCTACAGAGGAGCAGCCAGAGGGGCAGGGGGGAAACCTGGAGAAGGCTGGGGGGGGGACGTGCCTGGGGCGCCCTAAGGCGGCCTCGGGTCAAGGAAATGGTCGGAAGAGATCTGAACCGAGCCCGTGGGGTCCAGCAGGGGAGAGGCCCCTGGTGACTGAGGAACAGAGTGAGGCAGAGGTGGGGCGGGAGAGGGCCTGGGGGAGAGGCTGGGAGGCCAGGGGCAGACTCGGAAGGGGCTGTCCTGCTGGGGGGTGGGGGTCCCTGCAGGAGGAGAGAGGGCAGGACCCGGAGCCCCGGGGCGGAGGCCTGGCTAGAGGGGCCCCCAATCCCGACTCAGGAGGACAGAGGGGGAGGGGCCGGGCTGTGGAGAAGGGGGGCCTCTGTGGGCACCCCCACCTCGAAGCCCGATTAGCAGGAGGAGGAGAAACAACCGGTCCACCCTGAGCCGCAGCCCCCACCTGTCACCCGGCCGGCTCAGCCTGGGGTCCCCGTGTCCCCCACCCTCATACTCTGGTCCAACCGGTGCCACAGGCCCAGGCAGAGGCCTGGAGGGACAGGCTGATGGTGAAACCACTTCCCAGGAATGCGGGTCTCCACGGGGGGCCCCCAGACGCCTGCCCCTGCACGTAGCAGGTCCCACACCCCTGCGACGCCCCGGGGACCAGGAGCCACGGCCAGACAGGAGCCTGCTTCCTGTAGGTTCTGGACAAGCCAGATTCCTGGGCCTCCTGCCCTCCCCCCCCCCAGTGCCCCTTCCCCACGACTGGAACTGCCCCTCGGGAAGGAGAGGCCCCTGCCCACGTGTCCGGCCAAGGGGCCATTGGGAGGCCACCCATCATCACACAACCCATCTCAGGACAGGCGGGGGAGGGGCACGGGTCTAAGTTTGGGACCCAGGTCCCTACCCCGACCTGAGACTTTGCCCACAAAGCGCTCTGGCCTTCCAGGGAACAGAGGGCAGCTCAGGACAAGCATGTCCCCCAGGACCTCGGGCGGGGGGGTCCCGGCCCCCGCGGGACCTGTCTTAGCCACAGGAGGGGGAGGAGAGGGCAGAATATGGCATAACCGCCGCCGCAGGACCTTCGCACAACAGAGGCCTTAAACCAAGGGCTGGCCCCCGTCCCCAAGCACACGCTGGGGCCTTAGGCACGCTCTCCCTGCACTGGGGGGCCCTCCCAGCGTCGGGGGGCAGCCTGCCTCGGCCCCAGGAAGAGAACCGGGCGGCCCCTCCGTGCGCTGGGGCTGGGGAAGGAATCACCGGTGAGCCCTGGGGACAGGAACCGGCCCAGAAGGGCCCCCCCCCCCCGTAAGGGAGCCCAGGCCTGGGAGCGTCAGGGGGAGACGCAGGGTGACACAGGTCCGACTCCGGGGACTCGGGGAGACACGATCCTCACTGGGAAGTTCGCAGACGCGTTGGGAGGGCGGGAATCCTGTGGCGTTCCGGGTGCCGCCTGACCCCGCAGGGGCTCACGCGGGGTCACAGGAGCCAAGGAGGGGCCGAGCCCGACCATCCCCCACTCACACACGGCTTCCGGGCCTCCATCCAAACATCTCCCTAACGCACTTACCTCCCTTATCACACAGTGTGTCTGGGAAAGGAAGGCAGATAAGGGAGTCTGGTTTCTTTCACAGTCCAGCCTCGGCCCAAGCTGCTGGCAGCTGTCCCTGAGGGCCTCTGCCGACGGCCCCGGGGACTCCCGCTCAGCCCAGGACAGTCCATGCGGGCTCCAGGCCTGGCCTGGCCTCAGGCTGCCGCCATCCGCCACAGGCCCGGCGGGCCCCCTCCACCTGCGAGGCTCCGTGGATGCTTGTGAACGGATCCGGCCGATGTCACTGTTACAACCGGCCTGGCCCAATCCCTCTTGGTTTAGATACCAAGAAAGTGAGATCGACTTTTCAGGAGGTGCTCCCAAGGCCTCTCAGCAAACATGACAAGAGCAGCTCCGGTCTGCTTCAGGGACATGGCCTCCTACAGGAAGTGCGCCCTGATTTCTCCCACTCCATGGTGCTGCCCTCTCCCTCCTCCTGGAGCTGCCCCGGCTACTCTTTTGTCTCCGTACCACCTAGCAAGGTCAAGGCTGTGCACTCAAAAGTGGATTCCATGATCAACTCTTTCTGCATGGAGTTCAGGACACATTGATACGCTAAGTGTGACCCACTTCCAACAGCCCCAAGTCTGAAACAGCAGAAACCAACAGGTTTCTCTAAACCTCACTGCTTATTACAGAGGGGCGGGGTAACACCAGGCCCGCCACGCCTCACCGCAGCTGTCACTGGCCCCTCGCCCTGGGGCCCAGCCTAGAGCCCTGAGTCCCAGCTCGAGCCCAAGCACCCAGCCATGTGCTGCCACAGCGGGTCACACAGGTGGCTCCGCAGCCCCCCCGGCCGCCAGGAGCTGGCTGGAGGTGCCCTCGGCGCTCCTGAGACGGGGCTGGAGCCGATGCGGGGGCAGCGCTGCTGCGGTCAGCCGAGGGGGCGCTGCCTCGGAGCAGGGGGCTGCACGACCTCTGACCCCCTGGAGACCTGGGCTATACTCCACCCAAGTGCCCGGCTCTGCCTTTCTGCAGCCCACTGCCCACTTCCGTGTCTCCATCCCTGTCCCCTAAGAGCCGTGGCATCCCTGTCGGCCCGGACCCCTTCCTCCAGCAGCACTGTCCCCGCGACTTCCGGGGCAGGCTCTCCCCTCCCCCTCCTTCCGCACGATTACCTGACTGCCTCACCCACTGCAGGCTCTGCCCTGAGGTCTCCCTAAAGTCCAGCCTGGCCCTCCTGGCTCACCAGACGGGACCACGTCTGCTCTGAGGCAGCTACTCCTGCGTGTCCCACAACCCCTCACGCTCAGCAGGACCCGGCCAGACCCCGGCGCCCCCCACATCTGCGACCCAACAGCCCCCAGGCACGGCTCCTGTCTGTGCCGCCCTGCCGCGCCCCCGTGAAGACCGTCTCCTCTCCTGGACCATCCAACGGACCCACGCTGTCCCCAGCCACCCACCAACCCGCCATCCATCCTTGCAGACCTTGCGGAAGAAGGAGGAGCCCGTCCCTCCCTGCCCGCGCCCCTCACCCCCCACCCCCATAAGCAAGAGGACTAGGTCACCTCGGGTGAGAACAGCCAGTTCCCACCGAGACAGCCAGGTGACAAGCCCCCTGTCACACATGTATGAGCACACACGTGCATATCCGCAGTCACACACACATGACTGGGACATGATCTCCCCGGACACTTGGACAGCTGCTTCGGCGAGCAGACAAGTAGCAAACGTGTGTTAAAACAACTTCAGAAACAGCCGATGACACAGTTTATTAGGCACGTGTGAGCTCACCGTGGGGGTTTTGTACCGTGGACGTGTAGCATGCTGTGCTCATAAGACAGAACTAAGTGTACCCACATTTCCAGGCCCTCCGCACAGAGCGCTGGACGCCGGGGACAGAGCCCAGCCCCCGTACCCTGCGCCCGCAGGGGCTTCACAGTGCAGCCCTCGCCTCTCATTCCCGCCGGGCCCCTCCGGACAGGAGGCCCTGCAAGCGCCGCTGGGCCTGCACGCACAGTCCCCACCGGCCCGCACGTGGCGCCAGCAGCAGCGAGCCCTGGGCTCCAGCACAAGGCCTTCCCGGGACACCCACGGGAAGGGACTCAGGTGTACGGGCACATCTGCTCCGGCTGCCCCCGCGTTGGCACCGCTGTGTCTGGGGCCGCCTCCCCCCCCACCCCCATCCCCGGGCTGGGACCTCCAGGAGCTAACGGGTCCCCTCCGCCTGGCCCGGAGGTGCAGCCCAGCCCACACAGGAGGGCTGCACGGATGGCGGATGGATCCGAGGGGCAGCAGGTGCAAACCACTCAGGCCCGGACCCTGGAACCCGGGCCCCACAGCACATGCCCGAGCGGAGGGGAAAATGCCACCTAAGGGCCACTGCGCACCCCATGGACACAGGAGGCGCAGCGCGCTGACGGTCCCCGCCGGCCTCCCCCCACCCCCACGAGGGTCGCCAGCCCCGGGAAGCGGGGGCTGCTCCAGGCTGGTTTCCCCGTCTCTCCTAACCCCCTGCGAGCTCCCGAGGCGGCTGCCCCCACGTCACCCCGTCCTCCTGGCCTCCCCTCTCACGCGCGCACACGCGCACACACGCGCACACGCGCACACGGGCCTGAGTTCTCAGTCTGGGTTAATTAATAACGTGAGCCGTCAGGCCTCAGTGAAGCGGCGGCGCAGGGGGCGCGTGAACGCAGGCGGGGGCCCGGCGAGGCCCAGGCCGTGTCGAACCGGTCAGGGGCCGAGCGTCACGGGACAAAGGGGACGGGGAGACGGCTCCGCGCACACAGGGCCTGCGTTCAGAGAAGGGAGGGGCCGCAGACAGGTGCGGCGCGCGGGCCTCGGGGCCCTCTCCCAGCCCGGGGGGGCCGGACCCCAGCCCCGCGCCCCCGCGCGCGCCGCCCGGACCCACCTGGCCGCGCGACAGCGAGAAGGTGGCGTGGCTGGCGAAGCGCGCGGTGCCCAGGCGGGGCGCGCGGCCGGGGCCGCCGGGGCCGCCGGGCGCGGGGGTCGGCCCGGTCGCCACGCCCAGCGCCTCCACCTGCCGCGTCAGGCGCTCGAGCTGCGCCTGCAGCCGCTGGTTGTCGCGCTGCAGCTCGGCCACCGTGCGCGCCAGCGGGCCCGCCAGGCGCAGCGCCTCGGCCACGCGCCGCTCCACGCCGCGCTGCAGCCCCTGCATGTCGTCGTGCAGCGCGCGCACCGCGCCCTCCAGCGCCGCCTCGTAGCGGCCCAGCGCCTCGCGCACGCCGCGCGCCTCCTCGGCGCCGGGGCCCGGCTCCATGGCCGAGCGCCGGCCCGGCGGACGGGGCAGCCGAGCTCCGCAGCTGCGGGCCGCGACTGGCCGCCCCGGGCCGCGTTCGCCGGAGGGGCGGCGGGAGGGGCGGGCGCAGGGCGGGGGCGGGGCCTCGGGGGCGGGGCCGCGGGCGGGGGGCGGGGCCGCGAGCCCCGGGACTGGGCGCCCCGCGGGGGCGGGGCCGCGGGCGGGGGGCGGGGCGGGGCGGGGCCGCGGCGGGGCCGAGGGCGGGGGGCGGAGCCTCGGGCCGGGGGCCTCGCGTAGCCGAGGCGCCGAAGGGGGAGCGCCGGGCGCTGCTGCCCGGTGGGGCGGGGCCTCTGGGGCGGAGCCTCGGGGGGGGCGGAGCCGCGAGCCCTGGGACTGGGCGCCGCACGGGGGCGGGGCCGCGGCGGTGGGAGGGGAGGGGCGGGGCCGCGGGCAGTGGGAGGGGCGGGGCCGGGGCGGGGCCGGCGCCGCGAGGGGCGGAGCCTCGGGCCCGGGGCCTCGCGTAGCGGAGGCGCAGAAGGGGGAGCACCGGACGCTGCTGCCCAGGGGGGCGGGGCCGCAGGGGGAGCGCGAGGCCCGAGAGCCCCCTGACCCGGGCGGCCCCCGGGAAGCGGCGTGAGGCCTGGGCGAGGGGCCGCGGCCCCCGAGGGGACTTTACCCCGGAGACCCCCGCCCTCCGCGGGTTTGGCGTCCCCGGGCTCTACCCCACACGCCCGGGCCCGCTGGGGTAGGGACCCCGCCAACGCGCGGGGTGACTTGGGGGGGCGGTGGTCTCCAGAACGGTGCGGTCTCTGCCCTCTACCCTGTGCGCTCGGCTCTCACAGGCGCGCGCTCACCTGTGGGACCTTCGCCCGGACTCCCTTGCACCTGCCGTGGGGGGTGGGGAGGCCCCCGCCCATCCCCTCCCCTCCCCCCGTGGGGCACGATCTTTGTGTCCTTCTCGCCAGGGGTCAGTAGGGGCGCCAGGCTCACCAGGCGGCCTCTGGTAGGGGATCCAGGAGACGCTGAGGTCTGGCGGGGTCGAGAGGGTGCACTTGGGGCTGAGTCTCCACCCTGGTGGCCTCTGGACTAATCGCCCGGGTCCCTCCATCAGGGTCTCGGTCACCGGCCTCTGTCGACCGGCCAGGGCTCCCACCCCTGTGTCCTCCCAACACTTTGTCGTGCCTAAACCCAGGCATCCCTCCCTTCCGTCCGCTCCCCTCCCATCACAAGGGAAGAATGGAAACAGCTGTGGCTTCAGGAGCACAGGATGATGGGCAAAGACACTCTCATGTAATTGAAAGCTGATTTAAAATAAGAATGGAAGGGGCCCCTGGGGGGCTCAGTCCGTTAAGCGCCCGACTTCAGCTCAGGTCACGATCTCACAGTTCGTGGGTTCGTGGGTTCAGGCCCCGCGTCGGGCTCTGTGCTGACAGCTCAGAGCCTGGAGCTGCTTCGGATTCTGTGTCTCCCTCTCTCTCTGCCCCTTCCCCCATGTCAAGAACAAATAAACATTTGAAATTTTTAAGTTTTTAAAATAAAAATGGGAACATCCCACCCTTTGCCCAGAAATTTTTCCTGACTAGCCTTCTCCTTATCAGGCCAAGCCCATCTGAAGGAGGCCCCGTGCCTGGGCAGGCACAGCCAGGTGAGCTCAGGAAAAAGAGGTCTGAAGGGCTTGTTCCCGCCGTGTTGGCATCCACAGACGCCCTGGACTGGCGCGCGCTGCCCCCGAGGGGCTGGGTCGGCCTAGAAGACGCTGAGCCCCAGTGCCCCCCTTGCACCCCTCCACCGCGGGGACAGGAAGGAGTGCTGGTTACCTAATCGAAGGAGCCTTCCAGCAATTATCTCATGAGAAAGTCAGGTGCCAAGAGGCGTGCGTGTTGCATGTGTGTGTGAGTGTGTGTGAGTGTGAGTGTGTGTGAGTGTGTGTTCCAAGTAGCCATCGGCACAGAGTGAGCCAAACCACTCCCTGTGTTCTTTGTCCGGGTCGAACATCTGATAGAGGCTGGGAGACACTGGCCGCTGCAGGCCTGACCACGGGAGCCTGGAGTGCAGACCCCCCCACCCCGGCCAGAAAAGCCCCTTCTCTTCTGCGGGACCCACAGAAGAGCCACGTGGGAGGTCCTGGGAGGCACTAGACAGTCGGAGCCCCGGGCCCATAGCTGCAGTACACCTGGCCACGACTCCCCGGCTGGCAGCACTGTGGGGGTGGGCACGGGCTGGGGTCCCGCCTTCCCGGCCATGCTCCAGCCGGCAGGCTGGCCCGGTCTCTGGGGCTGAAACCCCAACAGGGAGGAAGAGGGGGTAGACTGCAGAGACTGGCTGCCCAGGGCCCGCCCCCTTCCCCCCTTCCCCCCTTCCCCCCCTCCCACCTCGGTGAGTGATCTGCTCTGCGCCGATGCACCATGAGAATATTTGGGAGAAACCGCTGGAGGCAGGGCAGGGCCCCCTCCGCCACTGAAGTGGGGGCCATGTCAAGGGCAGAGATGGGGCTTGCTGTGGGTTCCGGGAAGGCAGACGGTACAAGAATCAAGCCGTCCCCCTTGGCTCCTCTCCCTTAGCAGTCAGAGCACTGAGTCAGTAGCTGGAGATGAGCCTGGGAAGGGAGAAATATGCCAGGAGCATGAAGAAGAGGGGTGTCGGGGGTGCAGGGGGGGCGCTGGCTCTAAGGCCGGCTGGGGGGGGCGCTGCCGCGGGGCTCCAGCTCCGCCCCCACCGGTACCAGGCTGTGAGGGAGACCAGGGCTGCCTGATGAACGGGGCTGAACTCCCTCCACGTTCACCAGCCCTGATGTCAGCGAGCTGGGGAGGCTCCCCTCCCAGCAGGCCCGGGCGCTCTGGGGCTTCCGGCTCCCCCTCGCCGGCTGCGAGCCCTGCACTGCCTGTTGCGCCCCTGCTCTGCTCTTCTTCTAGGCTGCAAGCAGGACATGGGACAAGCCTGTCCCCGCCCCCCGCCTGTCACTCCTCAAAATCACATCCTTGCCAGGCCAAAACCATGCAGCCAGGGACGTCGGTCACGGGCCTGAGATGGGGAAACTGAGGCCCGAGGGGCAGGAGGACGAGCCCGGGGCCCTGTCCCCAGACCTGACACTGATTCCAAGGTGCTTGTTCCAACACACCTCCCTGGGCAGCAGCCACATCCAGCCAAGGGCGGCGGCTCCCCCTGCTCCCCAGGCCGGCCGGAGGCCCCACCCCCTGCCACTGCTCCCCGGGGTCTCCAGCACCCCCACCCATGACCCTGAGGATCACATCCTCCTCCTCTCCTGACTCCCATCTAGCGGCCTCGCCCTCCCCGGGGCCCTTCCTGAGTGACTGTGGTCGCCCTCATCCCTTAGCCATGGGGGGCCCAGGGCTCTGAGCACAGCCCGCCCCCGCACCCCTCCACACCCTCTCTGGGTAGAATCTCCCACGTCTCCGCCTCCAGCCCAGCCCCTCCAGCCTACTTCCCCCCTCCCTGACCCCTCAATTCCTGAGATCGCAGGTCAGGCTGGGCTTACTGGGTCGGGGAAGGACACGGGAAGTGGGGTGGTCAGCCGTCACGCTCCTCTGCCCACTGGCTGGAACGGCCTCTCCACCCCTGCTCCCCGGTCCCTGTGCACGGGCACCACGTGTAACAGGCTTGTGTGCCCACGTGGGGCCCCATCCTCAGAGAGCTGGGTCCCTCCGGGCCCGCCCATACCCACAGCTGGCTTTAGAAAGTGCTCGGGAAACCCTGAACTCTGAGCAAAGGGGACGACGCTAGATGGACGGACGATGGGCAGAGGGAGGGAAGAGAGGCGAGGGTGGCCCAGTGCCGGCTGGATACCGGGAGTGGGGGGTAGGGTCGGGGTGTGTTGGAGGGAACGGTGAGCCCCAGGGACTCATGGGTGTGGCACACAACCTGCGTGCCGGTCACATCAGCCTTTGCACTAGGCTTCCTTCTTAGCCCCTCTGCCCGGAACGGCTCAGGTCAGAGTGTCACAGGCCAGGTCTGGCCGCCCCGCACACCCTGCATGCCGCCCTCCGCTCCCACGGCAGCTAACCGGCCTGGCCATCCCGCCTTGTGACCCCCCACAGCCGCAGGCTCCCAAAGGGGACACGCTGGCAAGCGCCCCATGCCAGCCCCTGAACTCAGCCTCTGTCCTGGAAACGACTGCCTCGTAGGAGAGCCGCAGGGGTGGCGGCGCGGGGCTGCCGGTTGTCGGGCCCGGGAGAGGGGCCCACGGGGCTCTGCAGGCCGCCGGCGGCGGGGGCGCCGGGGAGGCCGGGAGGGACTCCTGGCCCCAGGCCGCGCCACCCAGACCTTGCACCTCATCCCTCCTTCCCAGGGGACGCTCGGCCAGCCCCACAGAAGTGTGCGACGTCCATCCGTGCACCTGAGGGCAGGTCTGTGCACACACCACACTCGCGCGTGTGTGGCGGGAGTGTCTGTGGAGAGGAATGCTGTGGGTGCTACGGAGTCTGTTGTGCCCGCGCACACACCTGCGGGGACACGCGTGTGCATCGGCAGTACCGTGTCTGCAGGAGGGATGTTTACGCATCTGCTCGTGGGTGCTGCGCGTGTGTTTATGCACACACGTGTGTGTGCGCGTGCCGCTAATGCACATGTGCATGTCCTTGCGTGTCCTGTGTCTACACAGGCTTACCTAATCAGACGTGTGCGCCATGACGTGAGCTCCCTCCTACGTGTCACAGGCGCCATCTCTGGAAGACCCAGAAGTCCGGTCTGATCTAGAAGGTGCGGATCCTGGGTGCCGGGGGCTGCTCTGAAGACTTGCGCACAAGATGCTAGGGGTGCCCTGGTTTGGGGAGGCCGTCACACTGAGCAGTACTCCCGCCTTCTGGCCCCGGCTGGCCCTCTGGTCCCTGTGGAGGAGGAGCCTCCCACGGGCCTTCCCCGGGGCCCAGGTGACCCAGAGAACAAGCCACGCCCCGTCCCCAGCGTGGAGCGGCTTGCGGTCCTGCCCTCGGCTGTGCAGGATGTGGGGTGGAGACAGCTTCCAGCCCAGATAAGGCCGTTGGGCTCACATTTTCCATCTCCAGGAGTCCCGGCCCCATAGCCTGGGGAGGCCTCTCCTCGTCGCCCTAGCT